GAAAGAAAGAAAGTTGAGTTGGGCACTAATTGCTGTTCCAGTGCACACACTAGTTAGTTCTCATCATTACGGACTGTCGGGCAGCACAGCCGCGCTGCACTGTGACGCGACAGCGGCTGCGGTGCGGTGCGGCTCTCGCAACCAGTAATGCCAGTATTATCCAGTATCCGCTATCTCCTTCACGAAGGGGGGGGAGGGGGCGGAAGGAGATGAGGATGTAGCCCAAGATCCTCCAACCACTTTTCCATGCATTGATGCCTCTAGATCGTTTGCCACAGCGAGCTCGGGCGATAAAAAACCGGACTTAAAGGCACATTCATATGATGAGGTCATAGGCGGCCTTTAGTCATTGTGTCCTTCTAATTGGTACACACCTCATACAGGCAAATGAAGGCATAGTGTCTCTGCCCGTACGATCGGTATGGACTGTGGAATAACGGAGAAATCCTTATTACTTAGTAAAAGCTGAACATCGATAAAACAAGGATTAGAGACTTGACAAAAGAAAGGACAGTGGAAAAGATGCTTTTCAAAAATAATGACTATTTTACTCATCTCTCGACACCGTTCGGGATTGCCAGGTGGGCGGAGTCAGAAAACGACGTTGTTTGTATTTTTTCTTGTTCCTACAGACTACATATATTTGATGACAACAACAAGAGTAGCTGCGAAGGCAACAAAGATTCAGACAAGAAAGAGACAGAAAGAGAGCGTGCAAGAGAAGAGAAACTGCATGGATAACGCAGCCGCGCCTCTGTTGCCTCCTCTGGTAGGGCAACCCCAGAGTGGGTATCCAAACGAACCTCAAAACATCGCAACTTTACGGTTGGAGCGGAAGGATTATGATGGCCAGCTGCACAGCTTATCCGGCGTATATAGAAGGAGATCGAATCAAGCGGTTCGTCCTTCATCGATCAGTACCGCAGCCTTTCCGAGGGCGAAAAAATATTGGTACCTAAACTCGCGTGAAGCTGGCCACTGTCTCCCAAGCAATACCACTTGTCATTAATCGTCCGCAATCATGCGGGTCTGTTTCAAGAGGGGTGAACTGTCCCCATCTGCGGCATCTCCACCACTGGTTGTTTTCTTCCCAAATCGATTTTCAGACGATCACCATTGGTGATACAAGGCAGCCGGGAGGCGGGCCTGATCCCGCCCTCCTCACAACGCGTCCGATTGACTGCGATCTAACAATCTATATATTAATTCGACAGTGAAGAGGAAGATGCTGCCTCAAGGAGAAATCATTCACAATTTCTTTCTTAGAATATTCCCGCAAATTTTAACCGCACATTTTCGCTGAGCTTCTCAGCTCGTGTACACTTCATATCACGGAGCTGTGGAGGGCGTGACTGCGTACTCCGTGCAAACATGGCGTAGTCGTTTGACATTTTTATCTGGGGACATTTATGTTGTTAAACTCACTTAATGATGTTTATTAAAAAGTAAAATTGTGGCAAGAAGGGATAGGCCACAGGGTGATTTGATGAAAAGATTATCGACTTTCATCCCAGGAGAGCACAGGAAGCAAAATCTGTCTTCATGCGGCTCCGATGATGAGAGCCACAATCATACCGTAAAGACCAAGCACCTGAATAAGCTGACCTCATGTTATTTAGCACCCATTACTTTATGCATAGTTTCGCAAGAGCTCACCTCAGAGAAAATAAGAATGAGAATCATTCCGACGAACAGACGAGGCTGTTGAGCGGTTCCTCGTACTCCGGCATCTCCAACAATCCCAATAGCGTATCCTGCTCCCAAACCACACAAACCACAAGTGAGGCCAGAAGCGAAATGTGCAAATGCGTGACCAAGAGTATATCCCGAGCTGGCCGCACCAACTTTCCTTTCAATACCAATTGCAACAACGAGGCCATAAATTCCGATGATACCAGCCATAATGACTGGAATTACAGATTTCATTATCAGTTCGGGACGCATTACTCCCATTGAACAAATGCCGACGGCCGACTTCGCTGTTCCATATGCAGCACCCAGAACGGTGAAAACCTGAAAGGTAAGAAATGAATCACAGGGAAATGAGCCAAAGAATTCCTCTTGTTTGTCTCAGACTTCGTAACATACACTCCATATCCCGTTGGTGGGAGGGCGTGGCTGCGCACTTCATTTGAACATGGCGAAAGACGGGTTTTTGCAGGATATTTCTATTCAAGGCGGCTGTCATTGGACAAAGACATGACCACAGTATTGCTCGCTGCGGAAGCTGGGCCTTTAGGGGAAGGAGGGTGGGCGGGGGGGGAGAAGAACAAGGTTTGGGGCGCCAGTCTGTATCTCTATCTACTAGTCGACTAATATTTGGTTCTTGGCAGTTTCCACTCATAAGGGATAGATTGGCGCATGGTAACCACAACTTCCCAAGCGCCCGAAGCAATCCGGCAGCGAACAAGACTCTGCGGCTGTCCCAGAACGGCAACATCTTCTGAAAGAGCAGCCGCCGCCAACGTACGAATTAAGTGGACACCCCTACCCACCTACAGAGTGTGTTGAGTAGGTATTTGTTAAGCTGAAGTCAGCTTCATCCCTGCTGCTGAAGAGCAGCCCGCACACATGACGCGTTGAGCACACTTTCAAAGGCGAATTCCACGACGATCAAATGGGCGGAGGTATGGGCGTAGTCTTGCAACCGTGAAGCCTTTTTTATTATCACGCCCCTCCTCCCCACCGGATCAGAGTGGGGTGTGCACCAATAAGAAGTGCACTATGATTGAGAGTCTCCTCCCGCATCACCGCCCATTTGATTGTCCCAGACTGTCTCCCCCGACCCGTAGATTGTGACAATGAGGACGCTAGCGACAAAAGTGAAACTCGCAGTAAGCTGGGCTTAACTTTGCTATAACAGGTTAGGTTCTATAGCCGACGAACACTAAGTTCAGCGTGATCGAAGAACATAACCGAACATACCTGTGCACACGCAGCTCCCATATATCCAAAGAAAGGCGTATACGCTGGTATTTCTGCTGCATGTAAATCGTATGACATCCTGGAAGGATAATTTATGGAGGAATACCTCCGGACCACTGCCACATCATACACATTATGAGTGGAAAAGTATGCCATTGGGCAGTATCTTAAACACCTTTGACTGGCAAATGCACAAGTAAGAACAACACTTTATTCGAGAACCATCGGATTGCGATAGTGAATCTTTCGGTGATACCGATTGCACCTTGAAGGTCGTGCTTGTTGATTTGACAGCGCATTCTGGTGCCACGACATCAGAATGGGAACATGTTCGCCTGGAGCTGTTCGTGATTTGAAGCACGATTCGGGGATACCCAGTGTTGCCAAACTGCAAGACTCTTCGTTTCGATCTAATAATCTGAAACATTTTGTATAGCGAGCGCTATAAGCTAAACTCGACGAATTCCCCAAAGAAAGGGACAAAAGTGAGTCTAGAGCAGAAAGTCCACAATGTTGCAGCGTTACAAATGGCTTCACCTACATATTAGATTGTCCGGAAAGTTCTCAGCGTTTTGAGTGTTTCACTTTAAACGATCATAACTTTTTAATACTCATCGGATTTAATCGAAATAAGCACCGTTCGAATCAGCACACTTTTGCCAATGTGACACCAGTCGATAAATCCCATCAAAGAAAAAACTGGGTGGTCGAGAATCAGAATCCACGAAGGCTTTTTTGCCTGGTCCTGATTGATGAAGTATTTTCCAGCAAGGAAGTTCT